CAGCCAGAGTCGCCAGTCACCAGCAAAGCGCAGCTTACGCTCCCGCATGCTGCATTAGCCTTTTAACCCACATGGGTGTATGCGGCGGACATTACAAAGTGGAAAACAGCAGAATTGTAAGGCGTATACGCAGTACAACGGCGGACAGGAACACGATAAAACCGGGTGCAAAACGGGTTAGTATACAAAAAACCGAAGACTACCGGCAAGCGTCAAATAACCGCTGGGTACAAGATCAATTTACTCGATCCGAATTGCCTTGGATCAGAGAGAATTTGAAAGTTGTGAAGTTTCGTTTTAGTTGTTTATTCAAATACTGTTTTCACAAAATTTTGGCTAACATCTTCATTAGTATATCACGCCAAAAATTTGAGTTACCGCGTCAAATTCAAGTTGTGCCGGAAGGGAGTATTCCGGGATATCATCTTGCTCGAGCTGACCTTTTTAAAGATAGATCTGTGGCGGCGTTACACTTTACGATAAAGCAGACTTCAAAGTACATATACTGGAAACTGTCGCTGACAATAACGGCGGCTGCGAAGTCCTTTTGGGTCGAGTTAACGATGGATGCATGTCGCTCATTGTCGGCGTTGTCTACAGAGAACCGTTTGGATCTGGATCTAGTTTATTGACTCGGGTAACAAGTACGAAGAACGTAAGGACTGTCTGATTAAGGGCTATTTCAACACCTTAAGGATTGACTGTGATCTCTCTCCCGAGTCTTTGACGCTGTTTTACTCGAAACCATACTAAAGTCTAATTTGATTCAACAAATAAGGAAGCCCGCTCGGTTGCCGCTAGTCGAATCGCCAGTTCACCATCTGATATCACTGGCCTAACTGTTTTTCAACCATTCGGTAAAAGCGACCGCTGTGTTATCTCATTTCTGTGGACAAGGCATCTCGCTGTTAATGACAAGGTAGTGCATTGACGGAATTATTTGCGCACCGATCTCACAATTTTGACATCGACTGTAAGCTCGCAAGACTGGACAGTTCCCCCCAACATCTAGAACTAGAGGATGCTTTGGATCACTTAAGCTTTAAAATGACCTGACCTATTGCTTATACATTCAAAATGTCCAAAAGAAGACCTTTTACCAAGGGGTCCTTCCTGGATTGATTTAACACGGAGGGCGCACCTGAATGAACGAAGAAAACTGTGAAAACATATTCAAGTCTAACAAAACTGTTACTGCATATTCTCATTACCAAGCTGTTAGAAATTTACGCAAAAGCCTCAGATACGACAGGCTTACTAACTATGCTTTGCTAACAATCCATCATTGCTTCCAAAAAGCTCTTCTGGTATGTGAAGCGAAGCACTAAAGTAGGCAATGGTGTTCTCGTCATCTTCTCTTGTCAGAATGACACTATACTGCACGGTGATGATGTCAAATCCAAACAGCTTACTTTTCATCATTCCTCAGCCTGTTCGATGAATTTAACGCTTTCTTGTAAAAATGTCCTAGTTACCCTTCCTCTTTTCTTTTGTGTCCATCGAACTTAGCACAGAAACGGCTTTAAAGTTTCTTCTTAAATCGGATGTCAATTCTTCGTGAAGTCCGGTTGAGTTGCATCCGCTTTTTTTCAAAACCGTGGCCCAGTAACCGCTGCTCTTCTCTGTCAGGTATTTCATCTCTCTCATGCAGCCAGCCGCCTGCCTTCAGCTTAGCAATTGTGCATCGTAAAGCCCATGTACAACTGCGGTGATCGGCTAGATCCCGTTACTTATCGGCCTCTCCGTCTGTTATCAGTATTATGTAAGTTTTTGACGGCGAAATTTTTGCGCTCACTTCAATTCCACCAGGAAGGCTTAAAAGTAAACTCGCCCGCCAAGCATATGTTCAAGAGGGCGCGCTCGTGTATTTCCAGCCATCTTGTCGCTAAAGAGAAACGAGCAATATCATCAGATGTCAGCAGACGTTTTGAGGTTATCTATGTTGACTTCAGTAAAACGTTTGACAAAGTCCGTTACGAACGGCTCCTCTTCAAACTCTTTGGAATTTGTCACAGAGAACGCCGCTTCTTTGATTTCTGATTTCTTGCATCATCATCATCATCATTATACACATCAGCTAGAGGTGGGAAAAACACCGCTATTGTGCCACAATACATGAAAGAAATACATACATACTATACTATACGGATGAAGGCGAAGAAACTCATTTCTTCACCCTTCCCGATTATCAGTGGATTGCCCCAAGGTTCGGTCTTAGGCCCGGAACTATTCTAGTGGTCATGCAGACTTAATTCCCCTCTGATGGACACGTGTACCAGCAACTGAGAGGAACACCCATGGGATCCCCAATTTCATGACTCATTGCAGAAGCCATAATGCAAAAATTGGAGCCCATCGCACTGCCATCCATCAGCCCAAAACTCTGGATACGATACGTGGACGACACATTTGTCATCGTAAAACGGAACAGAGTACAGGCCATGCACGATTTGCATAACAGCCCATTTGAGGATATCAAATTTACCATTGAATTAGAGGAGGATAACAAGTTACCATTTTGGATGTACTGGTCACTAGGAACACCGACGGATTCCTGCAAACTTGCGTATATCGGAAGAAAACACATACGGACCAGATATTAAACTATCACAGCAACCATGCGATGAATCACAAGAAGAGCTGCATTCAAACCCTGTTCACAAGAGCGGAAACGCGCTGCAGCACAGGCGAATCGCGGAAACAGGAAGAAAATCACCTGTATCGAGTGTTTAGAAACAATGGTTATCCAAGAAATTTCATCAGAAGCTTAAAGAAACGAATGCCTCAGCAACAGCAGCAGCAGTCATCTGATCAAGCAAACAAACGGATAATACTCCCCTACATCAAGAACGTCTCCAAACTAACGGGAAGATTGCTGCAGTCACATAGAATCTCTGTGGCTCACAAGCTAAGTACCACCCTGAGGAAATTGATCTCAAGGCCCAAAGAAAAAGTCTAACTAGCCGACCAATGCAATGTCATCTACCAGGCTGGCTAGCCGAACAACCTCCTCGTGGTGCCAGCTGGGTGGTTCGGGTTTAACCCGTTCCAGCAAATGGTTCGGCGGCAGTGTTCCAGGATGTGGTGGGTTTTCGCCTGGCAAGCGTTCTCCCTATAAAAAGCCACAAATGTCTGCTTAACAGCACTGCGACGTGGCGGATGTGACTCGCCACAAACTAAAGTCACTGGCCCGTGGACATTCGGAAAATGCTATCCAATCCACGAAAATCAATCGCTTATTCCCACATTCCTGACGATAACAAACAGTCAAAAATTCTGCGGCGCATTCAAAAACACAAGCTACATTCCTACACAATTACATACGTATATACACCCATATACTTACATACACTGTTATGCTAAACATGTCCATTTGTACAATTTGTTCACACTATGTTAGCTAAGTATGATCATGCCTGTAAAGGTGTGCCTCGCATTGTCGAGAATAAAAATTTATTTATTTATTTAAAAGGCAGCGACTGTGATAAAAGCTACGTCGGACAAAGTGGAAGAAAGCTTTCCACACGAATCACCGAACACAAGGCGGCCGTCAGAAGACATGATCCGCACTCATTGGTTTCTGCGCATGAAGATCAAGAGGGCCAACATTTCGATCTGGGGAATGTAAAGATCCTAACACATTGAAGTACAAAACACGCGAGGGAGTTTTTGGAAGCCTCTACAATGTATTTAATCAATCGACACATCGAACTGGACGCAGTATGCACAACATTAATGGCGAACGTCCAGCAACTCGATCAATTGAATCCGGTGGAACGTGTGACTAGACAACCAGTACTGACGACAGACTCGCTCACAAGAGCAAGCAGACAAAGGCCGCGAAACACAAGGAGTCAAGGTCAAAGGTCATCTGCCCATGAACCAAGCTGAACGCGGATCGAAGTCCCAACCAATAGGATCGCTCGTCTCCATAGGCAACCACGGCGGTATAAAAACGCACGCACACCACGCTCAGCGCACTCTCGTCGAGGCTCCTCTACGCTACACTAGGCCCTACGCATTGATGATATCACCTCTATTGATGACGAAAGATTTTCAACAAAGTTGCCAAACTGAGCGGACAGTTCAACCGCCGCAGGATTGCTGCTGCTGTGCATGTTGAAGTGGTTTTGGGCTTTTGCGTTAGTGGAATGTCGCTCTTAACCACATGCTTCCCGGTCTTATTTTTGGGGTTTACGCTGATTACCGGATGTGTGAAGGGAACCGTGGGTGGTGCAGCGCAAGCTACACATGATCTATCTGTAGGCGCAGGCGTCCTGTGGCTGTCCCCACGGAGGCTGTAGCGACAGGCAAATCCGGTGTTGCCAACAATGTGGCTGCCCAGTGGAAGGCACAGTGATACGCAAATCCTGAACCGGATGTCCCGAACCAACTGTCAAAATATTGCTGGCCCTGGTTGCCAAGGTGGTGGCGCAGTGGATTGTATCGGAGCTCCTTAAGCTTCAGGCAAAAATATTCATCTTCGTGGTGAACCCATGTCTTGCGCCATTTTCTCTCGGAAATGGACGATTCTACTTTGTTTTGTTTTCAACGAACTCGGGTTTTGTCCTTTTTCCATCTCTTGATAACTTGTTCATTTTTATTGTAGAATATACTCTTTGTTTCTGTTTTTCCTTGTTTTGCGTCACGTTTGTCAGTTGCTTGTGTCTGCGTAGCCGGCCCATAGCTTTAAGGAGCGCGGGTTCGAGCCTGCGTAGTGACTGACCGACCCTCGCATTATCCTTAGCCTGCGTGCAACTGGTGGTTGCGCTGCAGCGAAGCGTCGGTATTGCGTATTGGCGTATTGCTGATGCCTTTCTTTCTATCTGCATAACATCTGGGGGTGATGGATGACATTGTTGGTTAATGCTCAAAAAAGTTTCCAACATTAGCTTACAGCTATTTAAAATCCTATTACTATACAACTGAACTTTGTGTTTGGCTTTTTTCGTTTCTGTCTCCTTGCTTAATACGACAGTGATCATATTTTTATTTTATAGGTTCTTATGTCCAGAGAAGACCCCTGTGCGGCCATCCCTTCTGTAGATCTGGTCACAAATTCCCTGAATCCCCTGACACAGTTACGCCTGTTACAGGCACTTACTGATGCCAGATCGAGCGATTCGCTGAATGAAGTTACCGAGCGGTGGAATGAATTAACTTCGGAAGTGCAGCAGCACCTTTTACATGGTGAAGAAGAAATCTCTGGCCTACTAGACCGTCTAGTTGAGGTTAAGAGAAACATAAAGGATTTACACACATCCATTGCCCAACTAAAAACTCGCAGGGTGAGTCTTCTGCCTTCACAATTCCCTTTCAAAGCGCATTTGCTTTCCTTTTGTCGTCGTGATCAATCACGAGTGGCAGAGACTGGCGCATTTCAGTTAGCGGTCAGTCCATTTCAGTTCGGATTAACGACTGTAACGCTCGCCGGTTAAACGACGCGCATCGAATTGTCCCGAAATCAGAACAAGTTTGCATCGCAACGTCCGCGGTACTATTACAGTATATACCCAGTTTAGGAAAATGGGCAAATCTCAATTGTTCTGAATCTCGGTATATCGCCGTGGACACAGGATGCGATTAGACGGGTGGGAAGGAAAGGTGCTGTCAAGGCCACTGCTCAAAGCAGACAGCCAGGGGACAACTGATTGCACGACAAATGTATGAAACTACTAAAACCACAGTGGCCATTCATTGAATGTCCAATCACAGTGTGCGGAAGTGATTCGAAGTGAACGTGAGGCACACACAGGACAGTAGCCTACGGTCCAATGGATGGCCTGCTGTTCACTCAGATTATGTGGTAACAATATTACATCGGCTCGGAGATAGCGATATCAGACCCAGTGCAAAGGGCATTTGTTAACAAACGACACAGATAAAAATAAGGTCAAATATCATTAGTGATGTGGACGGAATGAAGGCAAAACCAAGTGATGAAACACCGGACGAAGGTGTGGGCGTGGGGAGTAGTTAGCCATGCAAGCATACAGGGGTAAGATACGGTGAACAAGCATCTGGGTTTTGTGAGGACATGGTCATCGCTGCGACCAAGAAAGCTTATTAAGTGAGCTGAAGAATACTGTCCAATTGACAACTGAGGATGCGTTTCTGAGGAATTTTCCACGCAGTGCAGTATTCCGCTACAACGACTGTAATCATAGGTGTGGGAGCAGTGGATCCTGTTGCGTCTGCACACTTCTCTAGAATGTTAAAGTATTAATACTAATGTTGCTTATTCCAGAGAAACAGTTAAGGTTCAGAACTGATGGGACTGCACTCTGCCCGGTAAGTTATCCAATCAATGATGTGACCAATCTTGAGGATGTCGTTCAATCAAGTGACAAATACCGTCTCGGCTAAGCTTTTCAGTGAGTTTCTTCGTGTCATTTTCCAGGTCATTAGCCGACCACCCATATAAACTTAGCACGCCCTGAGGCAGCTGATTCTTATCATAGTCCTTATCGTTGTCATCGTCATCATCATTAACAACGTTTACTTGAATCCGCTGAGGTCATCGCGTTCCGGTTGTACAAACCGGAGTTGTGCGTTCAGAAATGGTTCATGCAGACGTTAAGACTGCCTTAGTCCGACCGAAATGTGATGTCTGGCGCAAAGAGTTGTGTACACACCGCAGCTTTGACCTAACGGAGTGATTGAGTAGCGGAACGTATTTTACCCACCCTTATGTTGTGTCCACTAGTTTTGTTTTCCCACACTTAATCGTACAAGCCTAAATGATTATTGAAAACGTATGTTCACCTGCACTCCTCTTAACGGCATCAGCGACAATAGTAGCAACAACATGTCTGTACTTTATTTTGATTCTTCGCTGCCGCACAGACACGATTGCCTTAATAATGAAAATTCGAGAGAGAGAGAGAGAGGGAGAGAAAAGAGGAACCTAGTGTACAACTTATATGCTCGAAACGAACATCCAGGTCAAGGTGCCTACACTTTATAAACAACGCACGGTCGCAAGCAACTAGATATGGCGGCGTCAGCAAAATAGCCTCCTTGCGACTTTCTCTGCTTCGCATCGTAATCAACCTTACTCCAAAAATTACTCAGCATCACATGCTTCATACAGGCACACAAGCTACGAACCAACAGCAAACGCACCACTGCTGCCAGAGGCTAACCATGTCCAGTAAAGTTTTGGCCCAAGCACAAGTGATTCGTATGGACTCCAGCCTGAAAAGCAAGATGGATGCACGTCACCCAGTTTAGCCGCCAACAGCTTCGTTTTGCGCTTCAGGTCAACATTTTACCCTCGAGTCTTGTACAATCCTAAATTTGACAGGCAAAACAAGAACCCCTTGATAAGCGGTCAGCGGTCATACGTAACAGATGTTACTTGCTGCACTAAAAAACTAGCCTGGTTATAACACGAGTGATTGTTGTCATGCCTCTGACCGTCTGAACGAGATATTTCAATCATAGATAATGCCCATGGAAAAGTAAAACACAGCGTGGCAGAGATTTCTTTTCGGTAGTTCACATCAGGCAATTACCGCTATAGGACTGATAAATGCAACAGTAAACTGGTGAAGTCAACAATGAGGACGGATGGGACGGTTTGAACAGATTTAGCATGTTCGTTCGATGCTCAAATCGATTTAATCGGATGACATCGTGACAGGGCTAACCGACAGCAAAATAACTTGTGTAAACAGTAGAGGAAAAATACTAACAATATAAAAATTAGTTAATTACATAAATAAATAGCACCCGGTTATGCGTAATACTCCGGGGGAAGACTTATCATCAGGGCCATGGCAAAGTCAAGGGTTGCACAAGCACCCTATGCTTGCATAGCTCTGGTTGTGTTAGCCGGATCGCGATGGCTTCAGTCGTCTGTAAGATATGTTTCCTTAATCATTTCGAGTATCGCCTCGGTACGGCACAATAGATTTTGAAGGCATCTTTGGCCAAAATCTGATGCCCACTTAGAATAAAATGTTCCATGATCGAGCTATTGATACTTCTGACCGTGCCTCTCCGCAGTGACCCTGAACAATGATCAGCCATCCGTACCGACAGACGCCTGGTCGAATGTCCCAGGTACTTGGCACTACAGGTGCAAGTAAACTGGTAAACAATGTACGATTCGGACGAAACTAGCAGTCTATCTTTAAGACGTTGAGCTATGAAAGGAGCGGTCCCAGCAACTATGTGCGTGTGGGCGGCCAGGTAGGTCCTTGATACGGCAATAGGAAGTCTCCTGTTCAGGAGATTGAAGGCGATATCTCCCTTAAAAGGAATAGAAACACATCCTTCTTCGGAACCATTGATACGGGCTTAACGTGCGTCCGTGGACAAGTTCATATAGAAACGCAGTTTGAAAACTTAATGCACCAACTAGCTGAATTAACACCTACTTCTCCTCTGGCCAGAGACACTTTCAAAACCACCTTAGTGCACCTCTGTCAACAGTATCTACACTGTTCAAACGTACTGTCCAAGACGCATCGAGAAGCAATCAAAGAATTGAGGTCAAATCCCGATCTTATTCTTTCTAGACCTGATAAAGGATCGGGATGGGTACTAATGGACAAATCAGATTACATTTCAAAATTACAACTTATCTTGCAAGACACGAACAAATTCTTGCATGACACAATCCAGAAGGACAAGACGGCAGACGATGAAGCAAAGATTACAAAGATCTTGAAAGAATTAAAACAGATGAATTTGGTAACCGATATTCAACGGCAGCAGTTAACTCCTGTTGGCTCCCAACCTCCGGTTCTACGGTTTGCCTAAAGTACACAATCCACAAGTCCCTCTACGTCCTATAATTGACATGTCCGCTTCTGTACACCACTTAGTTGCGAAATGGATTGCGCAACTGTTGGAACCTGTACGTAAGGAGCTCTCTATTCATTCTTTAAAGGATTCGTTCGAATTCGTTGATAAAGTTAAAGGCCTGAAGTTAAATGGTAAACTGATGCTTTCTTTTGATGTAGAATACCTTTTCACAAACGTCCCATTGCTGGAAAGGAATCTAAACGTTGGCATTCCAGTACCTAAGCTCAAGGAGTTAATTTTACGGTGTATCTTTAATAGACAGTTTTTGTTTGACGGAATCTATTACGGGCAAACCGATGGCGTGGCGATGGGGTCCCCCTTAGACCTCTCCTTGCCGACATTTTTCTCGCTAAGCTTGAGCGTGGTCCCATCCAAGGGGTTATTGCCTCACTTGATTCTTATTGGAGGTATATGGATGACACGTTCATCATCTGTGATTCTCGCATTGATGTCAACCATGTGCTCGACCAGTTCAACAGTGCACATCCCTCAATGAAGCTCACCAGTGAAATGGAAAATGAAGGTAAGCGTGTTTTTCTGGACGTTTTGTTGAGGAGGCGCGAAGACGGGTCACTTGAGCGTAGTGTCTTCCGCAAAGCTACTTGGGCTGGACAGTACACACACTTTTCGAGCTTCGTCCCTCTGAAGTACAAACGCAACTTAGTGCGTTGCTTGTATTACCGGGCCACCAACATTTGTAGTCCGGAAATTATCGAGCATGAGAAGGACCGAATTGTGAAAACACTTCTATCGAATGGATATTCTGAGCCTTCCATCAAAAAGCACGCCATGAGCCGTGAGCGCGTTAAACCCGTAGCAACGGTTCTGAAGAAGGAAGTGTTTCTCTCTGTTCCTTTTAAGGGAGATATCGCCTTCAATCTCCTGAACAGGAGACTTCCTATTGCCGTATCAAGGACCTACCTGGCCGCCCACACGCACATAGTTGCTGGGACCGCTCCTTTCATAGCTCAACGTCTTAAAGATAGACTGCTAGTTTCGTCCGAATCGTACATTGTTTACCAGTTTACTTGCACCTGTAGTGCCAAGTACCTGGGACATTCGACCAGGCGTCTGTCGGTACGGATGGCTGATCATTGTTCAGGGTCACTGCGGAGAGGCACGGTCAGAAGTATCAACAGCTCGATCATGGAACATTTGATTCTAAGTGGGCATCAGATTTTGACCAAAGATGCCTTCAAAATCTATTGTGCTGTACCGAGGCGATACTCGAAATGATTAAGGAAACGTATCTTACAGACGACTGAAGCCATCGCGATCCGGCTAACACAACCAGAGCTATGCAAGCATAGGGTGCTTGTGCAACCCTTGACTTTGCCATGGCCCTGATGATAAGTCTTCCCCCGGAGTATTACGCATAACCGGGTGCTATTTATTTATGTAATTAACTAATTTTTATATTGTTAGTATTTTTCCTCTACTGTTTACACAAGTTATTTTGCTGTCGGTTAGCCCT